CTCATTTCATATTTTGATCCTTACTGTATACTTAACATTTTATCAAATTCATGATGGCTTTAGTCATTCTACTTTAGTCACAAAGCCAAAGGTCTAAAGAACCTCCATTGACTTTCAGTCATTAATGTGGATTAGTTCGGTTACATTCTTATGCTTGCTAATCTTAAATGCAGCCATGTGCTAATATCTGGAGTGCTTTGGTACTGTAGTATGAACATTTTGATATCAATATCAAAACACTTGAACATCATAAAGATGTTTAAATTCTTTTGTTTAAAATAGCTTCTCCAGCTATATGAGCAATCATTGACAAGCGAACAGAGAGGCTTTGTGAATCTCTGCCACTTCTCAGATCATATTGACATTTTACAGGTTCTGGGAAGTGTGCACAACTTCCCTGCTGAGGAAGAACTTCATATACTCTCCTTCATATCTAGGATTTATTTATTTCAAAATAAAGCTTAATATACATAATGCTATGGAATGCAGCTAAAATTGTAATAAAAAAGCTGTGCACTTTTATTTATAGTATAGAGGGATCATAACTGATACTCATCTAAGGTGATCATCTATGGGTGATTTGCACTGTGTGATCTGGACATAAATTCTGAATTTGCTTCCTTGGGAGAAAAACAAAGAAAACCAGCGTGCCATTTGTGAGATGTGCCAAGTCTATCACACTATCTCTGTCATTTATCAGACACAGGTCATTCCGACAGAGAATAGACTGTCATGTGACCTCTTGGGCCAAAGGGCACTTTCTATATAGTAAAAGTATGTCTATGGTCATGAAAATCGGAAATGTTTCAAATAGCTACCTATTAGAGACTTGGAGAAACTAAGTTCAATTATTGTACTATATATTGTGAAGTATATATAAGAAAAGTGAATTAGAACAAAGAGCCAATCCAGTTACAGTGCAGAAAGAGATGATCTCTTATGTATAAATATTAATATTTGTATCTACAAAGTATAATGAAATTTTAGGAAGTTTACATTTCACTTTGTTTACTAGCTTGCAAAAATGCCTCACCAATGTAGTCTATTCTTTTGTGATTATCAAATCCATATCCCTGTGGCATATGAGACTTGGATCTTTAAGGTTTTCCTGTATTTGACAAAGAATCCAAAAATAGACTAAAATGTAACGTTTTTACATCAGGAACAAATCTATTCAAAGTAGCCTGTGTGCTAGCTAAGTCAAATGTCAAATGATAAAAAAATAAAAAGTCTTGACAAACATAATTGCCCATGGTGTTCTTGGGAGGAAATCAAAATTAAGAAGGTAGGAAACTGAAAACGTTTTGGTCAAAGCAGGTGTCATCTTAAGGTATTAATTAGATTTGAAAATGAGAGATCTAGAGAATCAAAGATTACTGATTTTATTTACTTTATAATTATGATATTCTATAATACAATAACTCTTCATCTCTTTCTATCCTACCCCACTAAACTTCCTGGAATATTCCAGCAATGGTCTGTAAGGTAAATGAAGTATGGAAAGCCAACTCACAAATCACAGGTTTGGGAGAAAATAGCACCACTTCAAAAATGAAAGTTGATTAAGACTGGTAACTTTTCACCTGCTTTTATTTGAATCTGCTGCTTCTGAGAACAGAGTATGTCATAGTGGGGCAGTGGAGTGTAGTAAATCTAAACACATTAATACAGCCATATTAACATGTGCAATGTAATTTTTTGTGTCTCAAAGAATATTAAGTATTTGGATAACCTCCTGGTTAAACAGGTGGATTATGAAGCCTAAAACAATAATTTCTCATTGTTCTATTTCTAGTCTTCCCATTATGAAATATTTGCTTTACTCAAGAGAGAAATTTATAAAATTATCATAGAATTTAAAAGGTGGAAAAAAGTCATCAAATCTTATTGATAGCTCTCCTACTTTCCAAATGCATGTTCAACACAGACTTGAAATGTGAGGCCTGAGGGTACTCTGATTACTCTATGTTTTAATACAATAAAAATCAAAGCATTCCAAAGAGTTAAATATAAATTTTATGGGCATCCTAAATTATCACATTAGTAACAATTCTGACAAGTCAACATAATTAAAAAACACAGTCTCATTTTAAATTTAAGAAGAAACCAGACATTAAGTAAAGACATCTACAGTTTTACATAAGAAATCATTAGGTATCAGTTACAAACAACTTATTAAAAACATAGCACTGAGTAGTATTTTGATGTAAAATATAAATGATTAAAATCTGAGAAATTTCAGTATATTGACTCTGTATTCACTAATATATATATATATATATAAAACAGAGTACCATATAATAAAAATTTTCTGAGATGATGGGCAATATTTCAGTAACAGTTACAACTGAAGCCAATGACCATTCAGACCACATGTTATCTATTATCTATATGTTGTCTCTTTAAAACCTCAAACTCATTTTACAATATCATATAATTTTATGGATAAAATATGATAGAAGAACCCATACTTGAATCCATGTTTTCACATTAAAGAAACTTTGCTCTTTCCCTGGGCAGCACACTGCAGGTGACTTTTCTTAGAAATAACAAATCACTCTTCTCTTAGTGTCCATTCACTATTTTTAGCAATAGATATTTACTGTTGACACTGTTAATTATTCGTATTAATCCAAAATTATGAACTATCTTCTGGGAATCCAAGCACTGCATAAGACTGAAATTTTAACTTCAAGTGATCTGTCACTCTACAGATCAACCCTATGAACAAATGTCATCTGTACCACCCTCTTCCTGATTCTCAAGGCAAAGTGACAGAAAAGACCCCATTCTTTCACAAAAGCTATCAGGAAGGCATCATTAAGCATCAGTGCTCTCTGAGTGACCTTGAGAGTCTTCTCTCCGTCCCCTGAGAAGGCTGATTTCACAATCCTGAGGTGGCAGAATTCTTGTTACACTGAAAAATAATGTTGTTTTATAGAAAAATATAGAAACAACAAATGGATACTGTTACTAAGCAAACACTCCATCCTCAGAGCTGTTTGGGAACTACATAAATGATGTCTTTGCACGTGAAAGAGTGAGGCTCTGATAATTGAAGGACCTTAAAATCATACATCTACAAATACTTGGAGTTTGATTTGAAACCTGAAAATCTGATTTTAAAGGGAACATACATTAACCATCATGTGAAATTCTTTCTCACTAAAGTATTAGAATAATTATAAGTAAAATCATCAAAATAAATGCAAAATCATTCTTCAAAATCATAATTCAGTGACCCAATCAATGTCTGAAAGAAGAAGATAATTTCATGAGCATGGCAGGAATCCAAGATGAATCTTGGAAGACTACTCAGAACATCGGATTTCTCTCCGTCCCACTTCCTTATCTCTTTCTCTTTTGCTCCATTTCTTAAATTTTCCTGCAGTTTTAAGGTAGCTCTATACAACTGTGTTACCTGGTTTATTCAAGCCCAAGTATCAATGTGCCACTGTTGTATAAATGAATCCACTCTAACCACACAATTTATCTTAGAACTTGTCATGATTATTTACTTATTGACAAACAATTTTTGAAGATGACACAGCACTTATTTGTCCACTTCAAAACTTAAACACAATTAAAGACATATAAATGGAAAAGCTATGAATGGATTTGGTGACATAGATGAATCTCATACACATAATATTTAGTGACAGTAGCCAGATACATAGAACAATACTATATTATGATTGATAAGGTAAGGTGGGAACACTAGTCACACAGTCTTAGATGTTAGAACTCAGCATAATGGCCACCATTGATAAAGGCAGCTGCTGGAATGTATTGCTCTTGTGATTTTTTTTAATCTATTGGTTATGCTTCCAAAATGCTTCATTGTCATATGACAACACAAAATTATAATAAAAACACTACTTCATTTAAAATTCACATTTGCCTTAACTTTAGAACTACTGTCTTGCAAAAAGATCCAATTAAGTTTTTGTTAATAGAGCTAATGATATTTTTAATGTAACATTACATAGAAAAGTTACTACTTTCCTAGTTAAAATGTTCCATACAATATTTTAAAAGTCATATTTCTTTATGTATAAACAATAACACAAAATTTATAATTTATAATAAAATATATAGCTTACGGTATGTGCTCAGCATTTTTATTTACACAAACAATACCACAATCACGGTATAGATTGTTCTATTAACTGTCAAATTCCTTCTTACCATTCAGTAGTGAACTTAATCCCCAAAACTCTATCTTTGGGCAACCCTGGATAACTTTCTGTCCCTGTAGTTTCATTTATTTCAGAGCTTGATATAAAAAGAAAATCAAGAAGTATGTGTTTTTAGCTGTCTGGCTTCTTTCATTCAGCATAGTAAATTCAGGATCCATCTATGGTGTGTGTAGAATCAATCTCTTCCTTTTCGTTACTCAAGCATATTGCAGTGCATGGTTATATGACAACTCATTAGCCTAACTGCTTCCAGTTTTTGTTGATTATGATTAAAGCTACTGTAAATATTTGTGTCCACAATTTTGTGTAAACATGGATCATATATTATGTTCTTATAATTCCAATCCATGCATTAACCTGTACAGAATATTTTCATATTGCAATGATTCTAGGATTTTTTTTATCTGACAATATACTAGTCTGTTAAAAAATGATACAAAATTAGGAATTAAATTCAAATTACATGGCAAATATAAACATCAATCAATACTTTCAAAATTCTTGAAGAGTTTTGATTTTTAAAATTATTTATAAACTTAATAATATTCTATTAGAGTTCTAGAATGATTTTAATATCTTTAATGATTTTTAATGTTCTAACTTTTTCAAACATATGAAATTTAAAATCAGTGATACTACTAAGTAGATCTCTGGAATTATGATGAATGAAAGTAAAAATCAAGAAGTGAATTAAAAGCTCTCATTTAGTTAACTAAAACTTTAGCCCAACTGGTTACTAATTTCATCCGTGGTAACTAAGAAAGAATTTGAGTGATAAAATGGAACCATGGTTGATGTTACCTAGCGTGTTGTGGTAAAGTGGAATGGCCCGTCCATGGGTAGTAAATGCAGTCATGGCTAGTAGGACCGTTACACCTGCAAGCAATTGCAGAACAGAAAACATCATTCTCCATCCACAGTGGCATGCACACACATGCACCAGTGCTCACGCATGGAGCCTTGGAGGAAGAACATGGGAAGCAAGCACACCAAGTACCTATCCATCAGGCCGATGCAGTCTTCAATACTTGAGCCTATGCACCTGCAGAGATGCGAATTCAAAAGAAATACAAGGAAAGAGAAATCAGTCATTAAGGAAAAGGAAAAGAATCAGTGGGATAGCAAGACAAATACTGTATGTGCCACATTCTTGTTTGTATTGTTAGGCAGTTTCTGGAATAGCATACTTTTAGAAACTGAGAGAAAATTACTTCCTGCAGAAACACAGAAGTGAATTGAAATTACCACTCAAATCCAATGCCAGAAAATTTGGAGATAGTAAAGGAAAGCTTACCTTCTCCGGTGGATAGCTTGTATATGTGTTGGTCATTTCTGAAACCTTCAACTGATTTACATCTTTCATTTCTATGCATAACTATGTTAATGATTTGATAGTTTAATGACTATGGCTATTTTCATGTACAACATTTCTCTTAAAACACTGTTGGGTTTATGTAAAATCCAAAAAAAAATCAATAAAAAGGCAATGAACAATGGATTATAAAAGAATAGCCTTATGCGTGACGCTCATTAAAGAGAATCTTGGCAGAAACTGTTAATATATTTTAATGCAATTTCCATGGATAATTTTTATAATCAGATTATTTCAATCTTTGGTTATGAATATCTCTAAATCATTTTTTATTATTAAACAAGGATTTATTTAAAATCAAAAGAATTGATTTGGCCTTACTGCAATGTGTCTTGACTACTGTTAAGTAGCAGAAATATGATCTGTAAACAGAAACGTTTAAAAAACTGTTATAATACTGAACTCAAAAGCAAATACTGTGTAATAAATGAATACACATACAGAGGTAGCTGAAGAGTCTGCCAAGACGAAGATTTGGTCATTTTATTCTAAAATACAGTTCTTAGAATTTCATTTTGAGTCATTATGGAAATATTTCTTGTATTTTCCAAATTATATAAGTTGAAATTTTTATTTCTCTTCTTCTCCTTCAAAGATAAACAGCTTCTTGGAATATGATTTATAGAGCTGCCTAATTTGTTTGGTAATATAAAGTATATATGTTTTACCAACACTCAGGTTTAAAATATGAAAAAGGAGCTGTAGGCACCCACAGATGTGTCCAATGCAGCTTCTATAACTGACTCCAGATGTTAGTGAGCTAACAGAATTCATTTGATAACCACAAGTTACCACCTCTCTCATTCATCATGCATTCTCTAATAGATATTCTACTAGGTAGAAAATCAGTTTGCCATTTGCTGTATTTTTTGGGGGGAGGGGCATCTTTAAGCAGGACAATGAAATCTTAACCTGCAAAAATGGTGACAAAGGTCCATAAAGTAAAGAGAAGCAGTAGAGGCACACATCAACGGCCCAGTGCCACCCATTAGATCTAAGAAAAACCATTGAAATTGGAAAATAATGTAAAAAAACATAAACTTGGCTCATATGCTTTTCTTTTATTTTGTTCTAAACAACTATTTTTTTATGTGTTCCTGGGTTATCACCTTCAAAATGCTATTTTTATGACAATACTGCCATTTTGCAAAATTAACAATCTACTCATGTCCAAGAGAGTCTGAAAAGCTGTATTTTGTGTGTAATCTTTATAACGACCCTTGAAAGACAGAAAAAAAATCTTTCAACAGTGAATGAGGTTCAGGTTCTCTTTGAAGAGAGAATGTGAATAATGAAATATCTTCATTCATTCAATAAGCCTGTGTGATGAGCATACTAACATGCTTGTGCCCTTTAAGGAGCTGCAGGGAGAAATGAGATGAATTAGATGCTTTTACCCTTCTTTTTATTGAGCTCACACTTTGAAGATAACAGATGCATGAATACACATGGACAGTATAGTTCTGTAAATATAACATGGAAGTTGGGCAGCAGAATGGCATTTTAGTTGGTCATGGTCACCATTTGGAAAGAGCCAGAAATCTGTAGATTGAGATACTGAGCGTTATGGCTGGTATAACAGTGAGTGCTAGGCAGTCCAGAATAGGAGAAGCAGAAGCATTGCTTGGAAAAAAGACATCCTCTCGAACAACAAATCTGAACAGAGTGTTATGGCAGGCACAGGGAGAGGAAAAAGACAATGGAAGGATATTAGGGGACAGAAAGATTTGGCAGGACTTAACTTAGAAGAGAAGGCAGAGCCATTATATAGTTTGGAAGATGCTTTGTCAGTCTCTAGGTTTTCACTTCAGATGGATGACTGAAAACAAAAACCATGGCAAATATACATAATGATACCCTTTTTCAACCATGGGGAACAAAATTGTATAACTTTCAGGAAAATCTGTGCAACTGGAGGTTAACTTATGAAACAATTTAGCCAGCCTCAGAAAAACAAATACTTTCATTTTTCTCTCATCTGTGTTTACTGAACATTAACTAACTATACAAAATCTCACACACACATATGACACAGAAGAATTGTAACTGTCTAGGGGAAGAGAAAAGACCAGCAGGATGAGGATTGAGAAGAAGAGGGTAGAAAAATAAAGACAGATGTGTTTAATGCATAGTGTATACTTGTGTGAAAATATAAAAGATGAAAATGTGAAAGGATACCCTGAAAAACAAAAGACACGCTAGCAAACAGAAACTGTTATATTGCTAGATTTGTATCTGAAATTTCTTTTTCACATGGACACTAGTTAAATGGGAGCCAGGTAGGCTCTTTTGACATGGAGAATAGCTAGTCAATGTCAGGAATAATAAATCAAATGGATGGAACATTTACTACCTCAGGCATAGTCAGAGTCTCAATAAATGCCACTAGTGCACTGGGAATGGGAGGAAAGGAGTTAATAGATGGTATAGTATTCCTAATTGAAAAAGATCTAATGGTCAAAGTATGAGGAGAGTTTAATATTGAGGAGAGTTGCACAAGCAAGAAAAAATTCAAAGGAGGGACATGTTTCCTCACATGTTCAACGTAGAACGATGGACTGACACTTTATTTTTTTCTTTGAATCTAAAATTTACTGTATTTATTTCACAGGATGTCAGAAGTGTTCCCCAAAAGGTGGAAAAAAGGTTTTGAGCCCTGGTCGTAGGGAGCAAATCCTTTGAAAAGGAACACTGGGAAGAGTTGACATTGTAAAAGTGGAAAGATGGCTAAATGCTACATGACATGAGAAAATCAAATTTCAGAAAGGAAAGTCAAGGACCTCTAGAGGAATATATTTTAAGATGGTCCTGTGTATCTAAAGCATCGGAAAGAATAACAGAATGAAACTCGACTGGGGAGAAACATCAACAGGTAAGGACACATGCTGTGTACCCATGAGGACTAGAGGTTGCATTCCAGCACCTATGGAACAATCCAAATGTCCTGCAATAGGGTGGAACATCAGCTCTGAGGGCAGATAATCTCTCTCTCTCTCTCTCTCTCTCTCTCTCTCTCTCTCTCTCTCACACACACACACACACACACACACACATACACACACACACGCACACATGCACACAAACGCACACACACTAAATCTAAAATTAAATTAAATTATGTATTGTCCCTGTAACTAAATAAAAGAAAAACTTTAAAAAAAAATAGAGGTTGGCCACCAGAAAAAAAAAATCTAGAGAGATGTAGTAAAATTAGAACTTTAAAAATAATTGTTTCTACATAAAAGTCCTTATGTTTTAGTTTTCTGTGAGTTGAAAAATACATCGTAGATGGGACTATGCATATAAGCAGACAGAAATGATGAGGGACAGAGAGGGTTGAGCAAAATCATTGAGGTTACTACAGAGAATTTCTAAGGTTCAATTTTGTTTATAAACTAAGAGTTAAAGAAAGAAAGGAAGACCAAGAAAGATATGTGTTGATCAATGTGGGGTCACTTTTTAAAAATATAAATCACCATGCATTTAAATATTGCATTGTAATTTAAGTCTTCATACTTACTATATATAAGCAGTTGATCAGAACATAAAGCACATATTGATCCAGCAAGATCATAAACTAAAGGAAACATTAAATTTTGAAGTACAAAAAATACCAAACAATGTTGGTACTCATTGTGCATTATGACATATATATTTAGTTTATAAGTTACTTTTAAAACTTACATCATATTACCCATCATAAATATAAATCTTATTATTATGTTTGAAATTTATTCTTTTTTCCCTTTGTTTTGTTGTCCTGTTCTGTTTTTGAGACAAGGTCTTACTGTGCAGCACTGACTTGCATATTTACATAGTACTTTGATCAGGTTAGCTTCAAACAAAAATTTGCCTGGTTCTGTTTTTTCAGGCACTGTGAATTAAAATATGTACCAACATGTCCAATCTTTATTTTAAATGTCTTTTAATTTTTTTCAAATTCTTAATCATTTCTGTACATCATAAAAAGTTCTTATTTAGTATATAAATTGAATAACATAAAAGTGAGTCTATTTCTGAATATAACTGTCTTGATATAAAACAGTTCTTTTACTTAGCTCTAAAGTCAACATTACACCGAGAGAATCTTGACTAGGGAGATTCCCTAGATAACATTGGTCTGTGGGTATTCCAAAATGGTTTTATCTTGATTTGTTTTTATACAAAGGGATACATCTTATCCTGAGTGTCACAAATCCTAGACAGATAGTCCTGTGTTGTATAAGAAGGCTAATTGAACACTGAGCTTTGAACCAATCTGCAAGCAGTTTCCTCCTTTTATTTGTTTCTAATTTGTCTTGAATTTCTGTTCTTACCTCCCTCAGTGATAGACTGTGACCTAGGAATGAAAGAATAACATTTTTTCTATTCCTAGTTGCTTTTGTTGATGATATTTTCAACAATAACTGAAAGAAAACAAGTTGATTAACATGTATCCCTCAAGAGAGACCAAACAAATGAAAGAATAACATGTTGCTAAAATGTGGCCTTTATTCATGGAAAGAGGGGACAATGTTTTTCTTTCTTCCTTTCTTCCTTTCTTCCTTCCTTCCTTCCTTCCTTTCTTTCTTTCTTTCTTTCTTTCTTTCTTTCTTTCTTTCTTTCTTTCTTAATTTCTTAATTTCTTCCTTTCTTCCTTTCTTACTTTCTTACTTTCTTACTTTCTTACTTTCTTTCCTGTCCTTTAAATTTACTAGTGAGAGTTTCTAATCAGGACTAAATGGTTAATCTTTTAAAAAAGTAATTGAAGAAATTTTAGAGTCAATTTATTTAATTCACTTTTGGAGTAGTAAAAATATATTTAAAGCATTAGATAATTTTATTTTCAGGACAATCATTAAACTGTATTCAAAGGAAGAACTTTATTTCTTTAAAAGGTCATTGCAAAGACTATTTTCATTAACTATTCCATTATCTCAGATTATTGAATGACCCGAAAAATGTGGGCATGCAAGGGGAAATCTGTTCTGGTGAGCTCACACTTACTGATATACTCAGTTAAGAGATGCACTGAGGAATAAGCTCATTCATCCAATCATTCCAATGTCCTGTGATTTTTCTCTGTGTCATAGTTTTATATATTCACAATCAATTTGAAAAGAAAGGATGAACTCTTGAGGTCATCTCATTGCTTCAATATAAGATGGCAAGCATAGTGTATATTTTGTGATCTAGTTCACACAACGTAAGAATTCCTGAATTCTCCTCATGAGCTGGAATCACAAGACATTTATGGAATCAGTGGATGTGACTATGCAGCTTATGATAAAGGGTAAGCTCAATGAAAGTAATGATAAGACCTTAGGACAAAGTCATCCATTGGAGACACTGCAGCCCATTCTGTCTCACTGTTATTCTGTGGCCAGGAGCTTTTGAAGGCATATTTCTATTTATTCAGAGTTCTAAAGTGACCTGGTGAGATTTGTTCCCCCATTAAACCTCAGCTTCCCTTTTGCATGAGGTCTCAGTTTTGTTGCTGTGGCAATTTGAATCCTTTCCATTGGCCAGAGCTTCTACCGCCCTCTACTATATAGATTTCCTTTATTATACAATCATGATGTAAAAGGCTGACGAAGAAAAGAGTCCAGCCACACATCCAGACTAGATTCTGTGCTCTCCCTCTCATTTCCCTGATGGCTTCGTTGTAATTAGATTTGCAAAAACAGCAAAAGGTCTCATTTTGAATGGCAACAGCTGTTGACATCGACATTATATTGAATAATTTACTGGTTTAATTTTAGTTCCAAAACAATAAAACCCTCTTGTGGATGATTTTCGCAGGCAAAGATTTCTCTTTCTCTTGCTGACTTCTCTGCTCGAGCAGCACTAGTTGTGTTTTTTTTTTTTTTTTCAAAAAATACTCTCAACTCAAGTGTACAAAAACTCACAAGGGGAACCGTTTATTACTTCTGTTTTCCTTGAAGCAAAGTGTGTAGGTGCCTGTCTCAGTGCCTTCAGCCTGTGTGCTTATGCAGAAACTAAAGTTGGCAGTCTGCTCTTCTGGGCTGCATTCGACTTTTATTGCAGAATCTTGTTTTACCTTCTGAGGATCTGCTAATTCACAGAGTGGCTTAGCTGATTTCATGACCTGTGGGAAATTCTAACAGCATCCAAAAATTGATGTTGTCTTGGCAGAAAATGATATTGCTTATTTCACTTTTCAATATCTTCTAACAGTGAGGCCTTAATCTGATAGGATGATCTCTTTACATAACCTCTACTTTCTTTCCAGATATAAAGTATACAATTACATACATATATGTGTTTCTGTGCATACACTGGTTGTATGCACTGACAATAGAGGTGAAATTTTATGAGGTGAGGATAGAGTGTTTTAAGCTGTTCTCAATTCTACCAATATTTATCTTTTAGAGGATACAATGATAGAACTCTTACTGAGATAAGATGCTTTGTTAAATGAAATAAATTAGGATTTGTTTGAGGTGACATTATTTCCACTAGTGTACAGTTTTCTTTATTCTTCAATGTCTTCAAAAGTGACCATACCACTGAACAAAAACAATTTAATTAATTTGTGTTTACCCAATTATTTTCAATAACATAGGTTATGCTGTACAACACATCCTCTTGAATGGAAAATATGTATGTATTTCTCTGAATTGTTTTATGACCATGAAAGAACACTATAATATAGGATAAAGTACAATGAATTGACTCACATGACTAACAACAATATTAGTTATGTTGTAAACACACATATGAGACTATCATTACTTCCTTCTCTTTCATGGTTGCCTGGTATCAGGTTTCATTGAAAAACTAATCTAAAGTGGTAATTGTTAAAGAGATAGTCTTATTTTAGGTTTTAGTAGTAAAGAAATAGAAATCACTTTTTACATATAATATAAAATCTCTATGACTTAAGTAGTTTATTGCATCTTCTAATATGTTGAATCTTTTATTAAAAGTGAGTGATTTCTAGACTGCATCCAAAACACACTAGCTTCATGAAGGTGGTAATAGGGTGGTAATTGTGGGTAAATTATAAGAAGAGGTTCACGTAGAAAGAATTTCTGTTAAAATCAACATCTAAAATATAATGATACATATCATTTCCAGAAACAATTTCAGTGTAAGTAGACAGCATTGTGGATAATGAATAATGAAGCATATTAATCCTTTCAACTGGAAACATGTACATGCGTTAGTCCTGGACCAGGGAGGATGCTTACCCCTGGGTGCAGTTTGGATGGCAAGGGTGGCATTCCCGATCTTGATCGGCATACTTAAAAATGAAACTGTTCGCTCCCTGTAGGCCGTCTGGACATTTTTCCACACAGTTTGGGCCATCCTTAAAATGAGAACACTTTGTACAGTTGTCAGGTCCCTGAGATATGAAAAAAGAAAAACAAACATGGAGAAAGAAAATTGGGTTTAAATCCCTCTGCAGTGTGTTTACATGATTTAGTTTTCTTAGGCATTTGTGAACAACAAGTGAATTATTGTCCTATAAGGGAGAATATTCCATTCTCTTTTATTGTTTTTGTTTGTTTCTCTCTTCATTTTTTATTGGATATTTTATTTATTTACATTTCTGATGTCATTCCCTTTCCCCATTTCCCCTTCCTAGAAACATCCTATCCCATCCCCCCTCCTCTTTTTTGCATTTTAATTACATGCAAGTATTAAGGTCTGTTCTAGGTTGAGGAACTAGCAATACAATAGATGCAAATAGTCAAGGAACAAGCAAGGCAATAAACCCAGATAATTAAAGAACAAGCAAAGCAATTAACAAAATTCCATAGACATTCTTGTAATCACTGTTTCTAAGGGCTTAACAGAATGACCAAAATATATGAGCCTAATTCCCTGTCCTAGCCCAAAGTCATTTCCATATTTGAAGCCTACTTCCTTGTCCTAGCCTAAGATATAGATTCCTGCCTGAAATTACTTCTTTGTTCTAGCCTAATATTTAGATTCCTGACTGAAATTACTTCTTTGTTCTAGCGTAATGTTAGAATCCTGCTTGAAGCTCACTTCTTTGTCCTTCATCAATGTCATATTCCTGCTAAGCAGCCCTTTTTCTTATCCTTGGCCCATGTCAGTTTCTTGCCAAGCAACCCCAAAAGCTCTGTGCCTCTCCCCTTTTTTTATTTCATAAACAAAAATGAACCTGTCTTAGGTCATTCTGTCAATAATCCCTTCCTTATCTGTCGTGGAATATGTATCATCAAAGTAATACACTTCTGTCTTAGGTTGGTAAGGCTCTGTGCATAATCATACCCATCCATGGCTTGCCAGCCTTTTAATTTAATAACTCTGTCTGGGTGTCCATTTTCAGTTTCAAGCCATGTACTTTGCCTGTCAACATGATGATGTTGTTAAAGGCAAGCTTCCACACAATGGTCAGGAATAAAATTATTACCAGGGCCAAAAGGGCTGGCATGATCAAGCTATATATGCCATTCTTGAAGCTTGACCAAGATAGAAATACTGACCTCAGGCTATGGGTAATTTTATCAACAGTATCTGCTGCATCAATACTCAGCAGATCAGTATTCTTTAAATTCTTAAGCTCAATAATCATTTAGAAAAAAATGTTACTAGTGTGTTGAATATACAAGAGGATTTAGATAGGCATTTAGAATAAGGGATTGATGCTCTTTATCATATTCAAATTATTGGAAGGAGATTCAGAGTTTAAGAGTTAAGGAGCCATTTTGAGTGTCATGTCAAATACCTTTGGATTCATGTTAGGTCTAAAATTTACAGTGGTATTCATTATAATTAGGAAAAAGTTTAAAGACACTTGCAGTGTACTTGGCATAATTCTAACACCTCTCTAAAAGTTTTAACTTTTCATAGTAAGCTTATGAATTTAAAGATATCAGTCAATTAACACCATTGTAAGTTGTGGCTATTGAAGTGTCACCAGCCCGAAGAGAGCCTTCTGGCTCTTCTTTGCTATGTTGTATATAGTTAAATCATACTAGCATCATGTTATTAAATATATTCTGGAAACATGCCCCTTTTGAAGTCAGCACATCTCACTTTCCTATTCTTCATGTCATTTTTCTAATGTGACTTAGTTTTATCACTAATATGTCCTAATGTTTTTGTGTTGTTGTTATTGTTGTTTGTTTTCTTCTTGTGATTCATTCCTAATGGGATTATAAAGTAACAAAATGTGTAAATAATAAACTTTCCAAAGGTATGTTTATCACCATTACCAGGAAAATATATATCCACAAAAGAGTTAATGAGAAGAAGAATTAAGAGAAGAATCCACTGCTTTTCATAGCATGCAGGCTTTTCTAATGACTGTTTTAAAATAACACTATCATCAAACCTGATCTTCCCCAGAGCTCCCAGGGACTGAACTACCAACCAAGGAGTACATATGGAGGGACCTATGGTTCCAGCTGCATATATACCAGAGGAATGCCTTAAAGGCATCACTAGCAAGGGAGGTCCTTGGTCCAGTGGAACCTCAATGTCCCAGCATAGGGGAATGCTAGGCTAGTGAGGAAGGAATGGATGGATGTATAGGGTAGAGCCCTCATAGAAGCAGAGGGAGGGAAAGAGGATAGGGAGTTTTCAAAGCAGAAACGTAGAAGGAAGACAACATTTGAAATGTAAATAAATAAGATAACCAATAAGAATGTACTATGATTGAATTATCAGGTATTAAGTGTCCTATATATAAAAGAATTCTTTGGTTATTCTTTTTAACAAATTGTTTTATGTTGATGCTTAAAAGGATGTGATATATACTTATATGGATTTTGAAAATCATGGAACAGTCTTTAGACTCATATAATATACATTCTGATAAGCAAATGCCAAAAATTATAAATATTTTAATGGTAATAAAATGGTATGAAGAAACTTATCCAATGATGAAGGTAGCATGAACATTACTAACTAAAATATAGTGAAACAATATTATATATATTTTGTTTATAATCTACATAATGATTTTAATAAGTACAAAGTTCATAAGCAACAATAATATGAAAGAAATAATAAAAGTAATATATATTTACTATTTTTTTACTTTTATTTTTATGACAATGTCTCTTAGTTAAGCCCACAGTGGCCCTGCCTGGTCCCTGGGACTGGAGCAGACACAGAGTCGGTCTGCTCCTGTCCTGTGGAGAAACTGAATCCTGAGT